TAAGTCAAGAGATTTTTTTTTTCCGAAAGTGCTCTTAAAAATATTATACTTTCCAGGCCCTGTTGTCATACTTCATTTATACTGTATCTAACCTTGAGAATTTTCTCATCTGTAACTAAAACACAGATAGAGTTATTAATAAGTTTGCAAACATTAAATATTACAATTCTGACAGTATATATAAGAGAACATTGCACAAAAAAGAACTTGGGAAGTCCCACTGGTTCTGCTGCCACTGTACTGTGTCTGACAAATAGCAATACGATATTACTGTAAGAATAACTGCCTGTTACTATATAGTTTATTATCACATTAATTCTTGGAGTCCTAGACTTGAAATAATTCTCTGAGGTGATGAGAGTGTTGTGTCTTTTGTTAATAAGTGAGACACTGACACCCAGGTGGAGGGGTGCTGCTGAAATGGAATGGGCAGGACCAGATATGCTAAATGTCTGCACAGCAGGGCTGAAAACTACTGCGAGTAGAAGACTCAAAGAATTAATGTGAGTAAAACATGTACACAAAATAAAGCTGCATATTTCCAATGTGCCAAGCATCACTGAAGCACAGGAGATCCAGAGAGAAAGAAGAGCAAGTCCCACTACAGTCACACAGGCATGCCATAGGCCACAGCAGGGCAGGTGTGTGTCTCAATAACTCCAACCAGAGAGGCATGGATGTGTGCATAAGGAAGAAATATGGATCATTCAGTAGTAGCGAGAGGAGAGACAGAAAGATAAAAGTGAGGCAAGATGAGCTGAGTTAATGAGAACGTGTGAGATCCAGAACTCAGGCAATAATAATGTAGAAGGAAAAGAGGAGACAGATTCAACAGTGATGCAGAGACGTAGAATCAGCACTATCTGGAATCAGTTCAGAGCTCAGCTTTTAAGGGAGACTCCTCAAGTTTCTGTCTTGGGTAACTGGGGAATGGTGTTATATCTCACGACTACAGGCAACATAGGAAAAAAAGTTTGGGGTAAGGTAGTGGGCTGGAGGTGATGAATTTCGATTTGACGAATGGATATGTTGAGTCTGAGCTGCTGTTAAGGACAGGTGCCCAGAGAGTTTAGAAATCAAACCTGAAACTCACATGAGAACTGCCCTAGATGCTTTTCAACTTTTCCATTCAAGATGGAGGGTATAAAATGTACGTTAAATGCTTAGCTGTAAGATTCTAGGAAAAACATTGCAATGTTTTATCACAGTTATTTTTAGTCTTGAGATCTGAGGAAACATGTAAGAGAGAAATTCCAGTGGGAGAAGAAGAAGAGAAGCAGAGAGAAAGCTGATTACAACCTGGAAATAATGTAAAACAGGATCTTAGGTCAGGACATTTAATACTTAGGGTTTACTATGATGCTCAGAACTAACGACAAAAATTATGGAAGAAAGGGGGAAGGAAGAGAAATAAGAAGGGAGGGAGGGAAAAAATGATGGAGGCAAGTAGGATAGGGAGGGAAAACAAGCAGGAAGAAATGGTTTACTGGCGTCAAGGAGGAAGTGATTTATTGGAAACATGGTCCAATCAAGTAACCAAAGGTTCTCCATAGGCTGATGCCAGGAAGATATGCCAGGTAATTATTTCTTGTATATATTTAAAACAAGCAAACAAACCCAGAAGACAGAAAACAGTACTTCTCAATCATTTCCACACAGAGACCAAACTGAGGGGTGAGAAGTGGAAGAGTTCCTATGTCCAGGGAACTGGTAAAGAATCTCACCATTGTGGGCGCAAAGCATCGAATGAATAGGTAGCTGAGGAAAATGATACTCTTAAAACTTCTATAGAAGAAAAAGAAAGAGGAAAAGGAAACTAAATAAATAAATGGATAGATAAATGACCTCGATGCCATACAAAGTTCCTATCAAGAGACACAGACTCTTGTTTCCTTTGATGTATTTAATTCAAATGAACATTTATCTTGAGTGTAACTGACTGCACATGAGGAATTACAGAAGGTACTTCAGGGAAAAAGAAGGATTTCCTGGCATGAGCATCTAAGTGGGCTTGGGTGACTCTGGAGAAGGGGCAGAGCTCAGGTGGGCAGTCCAGTCCCTTTCCACCTCTGTGCTGTGTCCTTCGGCATGGTGGTCAATCAAACACATCAGATTAAGAATGAGAAAGGAGTTCATGATGGCCAGTGGCCGCTCCTCACTTCTGGCTTCCCTTCCATTAGCTGCTCACATATTCTCCCCAAACTATACAGAAGGGAACCTGCAAGTTCATGAGGTACCAAGCAGCATGGTCCTCCTTAGCCAGAGTCTAGAAACCCACAAAGAAGTCTTGCACTGTGTGGTTCAAATTCTATCCGAAATAAGAAAAAGTTAAATGGTGTTTGAAGTACTGAGTGGCCAGCACACCGAGGGCTATTGTAGGAGAAAACTGAATATTCTAATGAACGAACCCAGAAGTGGAAATGTCATGGGTTTTTATTGCATACTTGTCAGGCTTATTATAGGGTGGTATATTTGATATAAAAGCTGCCTATCAATTACAAAATTATACGCAAAAAATTCTAAGGGTTTGTATACACTAGACTTACGAGGTATAGAATTCATGTACTGCCAGAGAGCCCTTTGGGACTATGTAAAAGAATATCATTAATTTTTACAGTGTACTTCCATTTCTGGAGCCATTCCAGCACTGGCTTTCTATAAAAATCATTTCTTTAGAATTGTGCTATTTGCTTGTAGCAACATCACAGGAGCAGTAGTGTACCATATGCTGCTACTTAGCAACTTAGTCTGTAAGTCCCAAAGCATGTACTGATTTGAAAATTGAACAGGAATTACAATTGTTGAGAGATACTAAGTAAGCTTGGATTACTAAACTATGCAGGTGCTTGATATTGTATATTGTGTAGGAAAAGGAACAAAACTATATATCTTTTTTCCCCTGCAGATGACTAAAGTCTTATTTATTGTTGCTGAAAGGGGTAAATTGATTAAAATTCCCAAAAAGAATACCTGGTAATGAATTCTTGAACACACCATATTACAGTAAACAAAAGGAATGTTAAGGGTAAAATTTAGTAAAGGCCATTCAACTTATGTAATTTGTGAAGCTTATTCCCTGCCATGGTATGTATTATCTTACATTAGTTGAATTTTTTCAATAGCACATTTTAAAAACATTTTCATATGTGCTGCATTATTAAAAAATAGTTTGCTTCTGGCACACAAACCTGTCATATCTTTACAAAGCACATAAAGTATTTGGAGCTCCTTACTCCTTCATAAGTTATCACTGGTATTTAAAACATTCTTGGTAACTGGACTGAAATATTAAGAAAAATAATGTTGTTTGATTTTAGTCAGGGATTAATAGCATTCATGGTACTTGAATTTAAAAATCTAAAGAGCCAAGTTGTTATGATGTATATGCTTTGAATTTCCAATCCTTTATCCAAAAGTCTTTAAGACGGACATAATGATTCTCCGAAAGGGAGCAGCTGCTTTATAACAGCAATCATTTATTGAGTTTGTGTTTCTACTGTTTCAAACAAATTCAATTAGCCCTTACACTTCAAAACCCTAAAGGCACCAAAGAGATGATACCAGGTTGCTTTCATCTAATAGTAATACTAAACTTGTCAGTACAGTTTTGGGATTGATGGTTAGAAGAAAATTAATAGTAACATTTTTCATTTTTTAATCAAACAGTCCTATTCAGAACTACCTATGGATCTTGGCGGCTACTTAGTTGAATGAATTCAGTTTAAGTAATGATTCTAAACACGAAGCCCAACCTTCCAAAGGTATTCTGAGAGTGATTGACTCTGTTGAATGAAAGGAAATGTAGAATGGCTTTTTGAACTCAATGATGACCTTCTCATCTGAACAATACTGTATAGTTTCCAGAATGTCTACCAGTGAAGGCAGTGATCCTAATAACTTCTAAATGCAAAGTTCACAGAGAGGCAGGCCTGCCTCTGTTTTGAGTTAAACCTGAGACATTTTGTTCTTAGAGAAATTTCAAAGCCCCGTGAAGTGCACCCCTGACATATATATTAGATTTAATTAACTGACAACCACCATGAAGAAAAATAGTTTTATTTTTGTTCTCTATTTCCCCACCCCTCTCAGTTATCAAATATATTTGGGCGGATATGTGGGCATTGAAAACAACTGTTTTCAATGTTTGAGTTTACACTATATGTTACTGACACATGAAACTCCAGGCTACCACGGTTTTTACTCTTCCAGAAAAAATATGTTCAAGTCCACAAAATGCTCCTGTGAACTCTTCCTCACTTTCATTTATTCATTCATTTATTTTTACTTACAGTATTCTTACATATCATGTTATAGTGGCCCCAGAGGGCAGTTACTGTTTTGCTTCAAATACCCATTCTGGATCAAAAGGCCTGGTCTTAAGTATCTAAAAATAAATAGCCAAACATTCACTTTTATAAATGTAACCACTTACATTTTCATTGGACTTTTGTTGTCATGTCTCATGATTAAACACCTTGTCAACCATTCCCAGTGAAATGGATACAGACGTGCCCTTGAAATGTTTCCATAGTATCACGTGTTTTGGCTTGAAAGCAGCCATAAGAGCACTCTCTAGCTATGGGATTCTGGTGATCAATGTAACATTTTATTGAAATGCCCCAATAGTTGATAATTAAAGCTACCTGTGACATGTGTAGCTTATAATGATTAACTCGTCTACAGTCAGAAGCTCAAATAACCTGCACCTGTAAAGACTTTATTTCCTAAAGGTAAAACAACTGTTTAGGAAAGATCATGCTGGCAAAACAGCTGCTTGCCGTTCTGGAGAGGAAACAAGGTATTATCTTACAACAAATGCCAACTCTGGGGTTTTATCAGCGCGATCTCATTAACTGGAAACAAGGCTTAAATGCTTTGTTTATAAATTATGATTATTCCTGATTGCGGCAGTTACTGATAGTGCTACTCATTTGCAATGCAACTCTTTGAATTTGTTTAATTACAATTTGAAACAAGGCAGAGAAGATTAATTAACCCACCTGGCTGGCTGGCACATAGTCCTGGCTCGGCTCTGTCATGCTCATATACATGTTCTCACCGTCAAACTGCGAATGAAATAATAGTAAACATTCAGCAATCTTGACTGTGTGCATGTTTGTTGTTGGTTTTTTTTTTTTTTTCACCATCAAACTGGAAAACAGTAGCCATAAAACAAAATACTGTGGTTGGAAATATGGAAAATCTGTCACAGCAAGAGAACCATGTCTATTCTTTGATGCTTCTGTTGTCATCTTTCCTGACCCTGGATGTCAGTGATTGGGAGTAATTAGTGCTCTAGTAATTACAGCAAGCAAGCAAGAAATGAATGGTTTCCTTTCATCTGCAATCTGTTTTAAAACAAAATGGCTCATTCTGCGTACCACATATATACATACTGCAGTTCAGCTGTAATGAAGTATTAAATGGATGGCATGATTTCTGAAAGAAAAGGATAATGGAAAATATACTAAGGCACAGCTCAACACATTCTGAGTTTGGTTCTCAAAAATTAAAGAGTGCAGAGTTTTCATAATAGACTAAAACTGGCTTCATCACAATAGCCTCACGATTAAAAAATTTTAACTTTATAATAATATTTGAGAAGAGCATGTGACACTACAAGCATGTCTAAGAATGGTAATAACAGTGGATAACAATACAAATATACAGACTCAATGATCACATTTTCCTCTCCGAAGATTTTCAAAGATATAGAATTAATGTAAGTATTACAAATGCATAGAAATCCATATACAAATTCACAAGTTAGGAGCAAGATGGGAGGAGAAAATTCCTAGGGGCAGTACACCTACAAAACTGTAGAAGACTTCAAGCAACAATAACAACATCAACAACAAACTTTTCATTATTTGGGTTTTTGAAAGCAGTAATCACTCCATTCAGACTTAATCCTCAGCTTAAAAGTGCTATCTTTAGTCACTTGATAAATGGGTAAAGCATTTCCCTTTCAGTTAAAGGAAAAATTTTCCCAAGGAAATAATCAAACGGACTAATACAGCCAGCTTCAAAGAGCTGAATCTGAATATACGTTCATTGCCAGACTAATTTCAGACATGGGAATTTGAATATCTGGAAGGTTATTTTTCAAGACAGAATAGAGTTAGTGACGGAGGTAGAAGGTGCAGTACTGTGGACATACTTGTATACCATTAGAATAATTATACTATAGACACAGCATTCCACCACCTGTGAGCTGCTAACAACAAAATAGACACACCTCAGCTCTGGAACTGGCTCTGAACTGTAGTCAGCAGCACTGGGTGCCCTGAAGATCCACATAAATATGAGCTGTACAGAAAGACCTCCCTAAGGACACTTGAGGCACTCATTAAGTTCAAAGAACAAAAAGATTTCCTCACACATCATCTTGAAAATATTTATATTTCATGTTATGTGAATAGACGTATCTAAACAGATCTGAAATCACTCACTGAAAGATGTGGTTGTTAGGACAAATCAGAAACAGCACACCCAGAAAAGAAGATCTGGACATTTTAGTTGCTTTGTCATCTGGCTTAGGAGCCCTGAGTCCGATTGACTTACCCACAGTTGGTTTTCCATCAGTCAGGTGAATGCCTTCAACCCAAGATAGTCTAGCTTCAGGGGATCTGCCTGTCACTTCTACCAGCTCAAAACCTAACAAAGAGCATCATTTAGCATTTCTCCACCCCCGCCCACTGTTGGTTTGTTTATAAATGTTTTTAATGTTAAGATGCCAAAGAATCATTTAAAATATGGACAGTTTCTCTGACTGTAGCAAACTAAACTGAACAGAAGTAGTGAAGTGAATCAAACACCCCTCTGCCTGTGCATATTCTATAAATGTGTTACTTTCCATTTCATCTTCTCTTACTCATTTTCTAAATCTGGTGTCATTTTCAAGCCAACTAAAGCTTTGAAGTTTTGGTTTTAGTCTTTCCAAAATGTGTGCTAATTGAGTATATTCAAGTTACTGCTCCTAAGAACTCTTTCCTCAAAAAAGTATCAGCACTTAAGTAATATTGAGCCAAGGCTGAAACAGCATTTTAAGTAAAAGATACATTGCTAAAGGAAAAACTATTTTTTTTCAAGTACATTCTATGTATCTGTAACCAGTATTTTTGCCTGGAGAATCCCTATGGACAGAGGACCCTGGTGGGCCACAGTCCATAGCATCACAAAGAGTCGGACACAATTAAAGTGACTTAACACGCACACACAACCTACCTATATCTTTAACTGATATGTATTAAGTGATTTAATCTTCACAGCAACAAAGAGTTAGATATTATTATTATTACCCATAAAGGCAGAGAGAAGTAAAGCTAGATATGCAAAGTTACACAGCTACTAAGAGGCAGGGCTGGGATTCAAAGCCAAGAAACCTGGTTTTACAACACATGCATGTAACCCCCAAAACAAATATAAATATATTCTGAGCCATAAATGATGAGTTAGCTATCAATTCTGAAAATAATGCCAATATATTATCAAAGAAGATTGATGACACTATCTCTATGATGTTAAGATATTGTACAGAATTTCGACAGTAAAAGTGAAAGTTGCTCAGTTGTGTCCCACTCTTTGCAACCGCATGGACTATACAGTCCATGGAATTCTCCAGGCCAGAATACTGGAGTGGGCAGCCGTTCCCTTCTCCAGGGGATCGTAACCAACCCAGGGATCGAACCCAGGTCATCCACATTGCAGGCAGATTCTTTAACAGTTGAGCCACCAGCTTTCAAAGAAAGCTGAGGCTTTCAAAGAACAAGAGTCCCAGTGAGCTGACAATTTAGTAATCAGGCTGGCAGAATATTCCTGGATGCTTTATAAGTAAGCCTTAAAAGACAGGGAGGTGGTTTGCTGGTTAATTTTATGTGTCAATTTAGCTGGGCCACCAATGTCCGGATGTTTGGACAAATATTCTGGGTGTGTCTATGAGGGTCTTTGGACAAAATTAACATCTCAATTGGTAAAAATAAATAAAGCAGACTGTCCTCCCTACTGTGGGTAGGCCTCATCCAATCAGTTGAATGTCTGAATAGAACAAAAAAGCTGACACTCCTGAGTGTAAAAGGGAAATCTTCCTGCCTGACTGCTTGACCTGAACACCTGTCTTCCTGCCTTCAGACTCAAACTGAAACATCAGCTCTTCTGGGTCTCAAGCCTGCCAGCTTTTGCATGGGAACTATATCATTCATTATTGTTTGAATATTTTTTAATGAAGGGAAAAAACCCAAAAAACTCCTGGTCTCCAGCTTCCCAACTACACATCTGGGGACTTCTCAGCCTCCATAATCACATGAGTCAACTCCTTGTAATAAATCCTCTCTTCCTGCCCCTATCACTTCTATTACTATCAAGATATTCACAACTCCTCTGAAAGTTTATCTCTGGAAGACCTGCAATGTAGAGATGCAAAAAGAGATGACTTTGATTTTTTTGCTATGAGAGTGTCTTGCCTCACCACGACCACTCCCTGTGACCCAGTATATGTCACATACATCCACACCTCTTTGTCCAGACTGTCTTCCTCCTCTTGAAATGTTTCTTAGAACCTCAGTTCCCCTTAGTCAGGGCTGGGCTGTCTCTAGCCTCTGGGCTCCCCAAGGTAGCCCTCTGGTTCCAGGCAGGTTTTGTTATTGGGAGTTTAACTCCCTAGGGCTGTGAGCTACGAGAAGATAGTACACATCTTGGTAATCTTTAGCGTCCTTATGGCTTAGGGATAGCACATAAAAAGTCCTCAGGAAATGTATAATTAACAAAAATTAAACTGTATTTGCTTGATTGCATAGATCCCCTTCCGACAGAAGGCAGTGACTTGAAAGGAGGGAGAATATTCAGCTTTTAGAAAATGGTTTGAAGGCTTCTAAATGCAAACAATTCATAGTCTTACAGTAGATTAAAACTGGAGCAGAATTACAATAGGAGCACAAGCTCTTACAAAAAAAAAAAAAAGGTAAGGAAATAGCCGAGACAGCAATAATTAAATGCTGGAACCTGTTCTTCCTCAAGATTTTTATTCAATTAAAAAACATGTAGATTGACCAAGAATCAAGAGATCTCAGTGTAAATTAACTTAAGGCCTCTTTCTGAAGAATTCTGAGTTACCAAAGATACACGTATGTCAAAACAAGCCTGGTCATTCCTCTTTGTGTTTGGACAAACTCTTGCGCCCAAGAAGAAAAATAAGCCAAAATTCCAGTGCCCCAGCCCACCCTCTCCCCGCAGACCCCTATCAGGTTAACATCATCCTTGCACTTTTTACAGCTCCACCCAACCACACCCTGTCCAGGAGCTGGCTCCAGGATCTCAACAGATCTTGTGCTGATGCAACATTCTTAGAATGCCTCCATGTCTTGGGTTCATATCAAGTTGCCATCTGAAGTTGAATTATAGTGAATAGAGTCCCAGAATTTCAGTCTTAGAACCCAAAGGTGTTATGTCTGAACCCCTGGAGTTATGACTAAAGAAACAGACTTCTTATTGGTCATGTAGTCCATCTGGGTATAGAAGCAAAGTCTAGACTTCTAGTAGAAGAGTTTTTCATTATGACATACTGCTTTATACTCCATCACCCATTATAAGTGAGGGATTAGACTCTACGGCTACTGTTTTAAACTCCATCACAAATAATAGGTGGGGGACCATCCACAATGCTTTGTGTGTGGCTTGTTTGCATGCCCTGCAGTCTAAAAGACAAAGTATTTGCATTATTACACTAATGACCCCAGTTCACTTCATCTGGACCACATATTAGATAAACCTTATTCATAATTGTTGCAATAATATTCTTTTATTAAAAATAATTAACTGCATTTCCTTACTCCTTGCATTTGTCACAGCTATTATTTTTAGAATTCAGCTGAATTTAGGCATTATAACTTTTCAAAATACATCTAAGCATCCTAGGACTTTTAATTTCTGTGTATTCTCAATTTAAAACCTGAAGCAAAGTTTGAAGGAATAAATAGGCTGACTTATTTAAATCTAAATGTAAATGGCATCAACTCAGGATTAGCCTTTCTGACCAAGTGCTTTAGACTCTTTCTCGTGTTTTTATTTC